TCCTTCCTTCCTTCCTTCCTTCCTTCCTTCCTTTTTGATTTAGGCACTGCCTAGGCAATTTCACTCAAATGCAACCAGGATGTTCTGGGAATGTTTTTTTTAACTAACAGGTTTAGCAATCTGAAAAAGTTTGAAAACTCTTGTCATAAGATGCTGTGAGAAGTTAATAAAAATTATGATTAAGTAATAGTATTGTACAAGCAAAGTCTGCCTTTGGATGGAAAGGCTCCTATGGAACATTTTTACAGCTTTCTCAAGGACTTGGCTGCTCACTGAAAGCCTTAAGCTACAACTTAAGTATTTTGGACAAGTAATGTGAAGACAAAAGTCATTGGAAAAGTCTCTGATGCTTGGAAAAATCAAAGGCAATAGAAAAAAAGGCTGACAGAGGACAAGGTGGCTAAATATTATCAGTGATGATTCAAGCATGAGATTAGAAGAATGCAAAGAGGCAGCTGCTGACAGAGAGCCTTAGCGAAATGATGTCCATTGGCTCATGAAGTGTTAGGAAGTAAGTAAACAAAGGCACAACAAAAAGTCTTGTAGTTTTATAGCACATAATTGGAAATTAATGTTTCCAGAAGAAGCAAAAAATAGGGGAAATATCAAATTTCCTTATGCTACATCTGCCTTGTATATATTTTAACCATTCTGAAAATGGCTCCCACATAACAGGTCTGCATATGGTTGGTAATGTCCATTTCCTGTTGAGTCATTATGAAGCAGAGTATCAGGCAAGAGGTGAAGAATCAGATCCTGAACCAAAATTATTCCTTCCAAGGAAGGTGTCTGAGGAGTGCCCTGTCTGACTTTGGGTCAGATTTGGGCCCTGACAGTAACCAATGAAGAAGAAAGTCATTCTCAGATATCTTATTTGTGCAATATATTTAAGCCAGTCAGTCACTATCCCAGTTAAATCCCCTTACTGATGGTTTGTAGCACCACACTATCACACTAACTGGGTCAACAGTCACCAATCTGGGAATATAAACTTCCCACCCCTTCCTCTAGTAAGCCCTAGTATCCCTGGAGCACTTGCAAGTATCCCTAGAGAGTATTAGCAAGGCTTCATTAGTTCCTTCCTTATTGCCAGGCATGCAGCTTTAGGCATGGTTGAATTTCACAGCCAATCAATTTGGGAAGTATATGACTATGAACTCCTGAGCTGCTCCAGACTCAATGCCATATGAGGGCAAATTAAAATCTCCAGGAACTATTAGCCTTGGGGATTCCACAACCACCAACCAGATGCTCAGGCAAGGATGTGGCTGTGCAGCAAGGAATCCAATTTAGCAACACAAACTCAACTGATCCCTAGAGCCCGGCTTCAGCCAGAGGATATCACATCCAGTTATTTGCAGCACAAGGCCTCTGAAGGCCTTCTCAGATAACAACAACTATCCCACCCCCCAATTTTCCTAGTTCACAATTGGTGCTACATTAGAAACCGAGCTGGGCACACCTCCGAGAATGGAATACCCTTCTCTGGCGTCAGGTCTCAGTTATACCTATCAGGTCAGCCACTTTATCCAGAATGAGATCATGTATGAGGACAGCTTTGTTATAGACCAACCTGGCATTTAGTACAGCAGCCAAAGACCAGGGCACTAAGGATCTGATAACTTGGCATTATGGGTGAATAGTGGTGACCAGAAGGTGGAATTGGTTTCAAGCATCAACTCTACCTTCCTGTGAAGTGAATCTACTCCCAGATTCCCACTATATATTTCCCTGCCCATCACAATCTGGATGTCACTCCCTGCCCTCTCTCCACCATCAGCCAACCCCTGTCCCCCACTACCCCACCATCTAACCAACCATCCAATTGCTGTAACCAACCAACCACCAGTCAAACCATATATTCCAGCCAAATGCTCTTTCAGCAGTGTCCCCGCAAAGTTGCTTCTGCTTTCTGCATTCATCAGCTGCAGGATACATGTCAAGTAAGCTTCCCAATCTAATACAACCACTTTCCCCTACACATATTCAACACTTCCCTCACTAGGCTTGGAACTCCAGGACTAGCAGCTGCCACAATACAATCCTACATACACAATCTCCCACCTCCAACTCAAGGCAAACCCAAAGTCCCAACAATCCAGTATGCCCATCAGCAGGTAGTCCTACAGGCAAATCTGGTAGCCAGTCAATGAATATCTTCTAAATAAACTGCACAGACAGGGCCTTAGCTGCAAACATGAGACTCTGGTGGCTAAGCAGCTGTAGGACTCAGATGGGTTCAGTACCTGCACCTCACCTGGCTTCACTCTTACCACTCTAGCTCCTCACTTCAATGCTGCAATAAGACCTCTCCTGCCAGAGCACATTCCAGTTACCAGCCATCCTGCCACAATAACTTCTCCTGGCCCACTGAAAACTTCTCTGCTGCAACACCAGGTTCAGCATGCCCATCACAGGATATCATCCAACTCAAGGGCCCATCTCTACACAGTGAGCCGATTGCACTCTCCTTTTTGGCCCTTTTCCATGGTGTCCACTCTATCCTTGTGTTCAATACCAACTCCTGACTGGAACACATTTCAACCTCAGGACTTCCTTCAACACTCTACATAGCTGTTCCAACAAACTTCACCACCAACTGACTGAAGGAACAACAACATCTACTGTGCCTACTGATAACAAACAGTTCCTGGTTGTCATCTTAAAGGATGAAAAATAAGCTCTGTAATGGAGATACTTGCTTCTTCAGCCACTCTGTATCACCAGTTCTTTTCTTTTTGGAGGATTGACTAGGTGGGTTTTCCTTCTCTCCCCCTACTGAGTTTCTGTGTTTGCACAACACATTTACTCCATGATTGATCCAGTAAAGCATGTTATGCTAACAGGGCCAAAGAATGCGTCAGCCTTGGTAGCAGGTGTTCTCATGTCTGTATTGCAAATATTCTGAGGCAGAAATAGGGCTACAGTATGTATAGAAGATGCTCTTTTTTTTCAGATGCTGTCAGGGACTGTCAAAGAGCAGGCTTCAGTTAGAAGGATTCTTCAGTTCAAATCCAGTGCAATGGTAAAGAAATATCAATAAGGAGAGCAGCAAAGGATCTTGAAATTGACCATCAACTTGTTAGCATTGGGGCAGCAGATAGAACAAATTAATTCATCAATCACTTGTTTGCCTTCCATGCTTCCATACACACACACACACACAAGCATAATCTATACAGTTTTTATGTGCTACTTCATGCAAATTTGTGAACCCCTTTCCCTCTTTTTTTGTGACAAGTTTTGTCTTTTTTGATTTGTTTTGGTGATACGTAAGTAGCTATTTTGTGCATCAGTGTTTCAGGGGGAGAGGGGGACAGAGTTTAATCAAGAGATTCTCAATACTGTGACTTCATAAACTAGACCCCACGGACAGCCTCCTTGGTCTATATGTTCCATCACACCAGCCCTCCTTTAATGGGCATGAGCTCTGGCGGTATCTAGTGTCAGTTGATGGCTTTGTGTCTGGAAGTGGGGTATTTTGCTCTGCACATTACCAACAAATTCTGAGACTGGTAAGAATCAAGCAATTTTTCAAATCAAACCTAGCAATTTTTGTAGTGCCTTCTCATGTCTCAATGGCTTTTCTCTGTGGGCATATTTAAAAGATTAAAACTGAGATTCTATCCCCTCCCCTGATCTCTTCTTATCATCTTATTGGATTAAATTAGGAGCAAGCATCTTGAGCTTTGTGTAAAGCATTCTTCATTTTCTTCCTCTCACTAGCTGGCTCATCATGATTCCCTCCTCCTTCTCTGGACATCCCTGGCTGAATATTTAAGCATTATAATAACCAAATGTTGGATGGCCAAATCCCCTTTTCCTAAAACCTAAATGGATCGCTAATGCTGCAGAGCATACTAATCCCTTGAGAAGCAACCGAACAGCCGAAAGGAGAGCTAACATTACTACTGAATATATACCCATCGGTGAGCTTCCCTGGCCTTTAATGGCAAAGGACCAGGAGATGCTTTAAGCCCCAGTCCAGGAGAGCAGATGCCAGTGGAGAAGTGGGGCAGAGAGGTCAAAAGTCAGAAGGTGCAAAGAGGTATACAGCATAGAGCTGCCCATCTGTCCACTCCTTTTGGAATCATGAAATCCCATACAAATCATGAAGTTGTAGGTCAATCCTTTTACCTATTAATTTATAAATTAGTAATTGACTTCAAGGCAGGTTAAAACTGCATGGTGGTCAACAGCCTGGAAGGAGGAATTGGAATGGCCAGAGGAAGGGTGTGATAATGACTGATGGGGTGGGGGGGAATCACGTATTCCAAAATTGGCAGAAATAACTTTGAGTTTGAATTTTAAAAAATAGACTTTGCAAAATTTATAGACAAATTGACAAACATGCCCTCAGTTTTGTGAATTCCCCCCCCCCTACTTTGGAGGGGTTTCCTCCCATAACCTCCCCCTTCAAAACTATTACTTTCCATAAATGGGAATGCTGAAAATGTATGAATTAAGGTTTGCTACATGAGTTCTCTCCCAACAATTATTGTAATTCAAGTAAGAATCACTTGGAACTGATATGATAGCTTTTATTAACCAGCATCTTGCAGTTATACTGGCCCCCTCTTCCTTCACTGCATACTTACAATGGGATTATAAAGTGTTTGGATAGTTTTACTTCTTCCCGTTGCTGATTCTCATCCCTTAAAAACCCATCTAGCACACCTACATGAGGACACTCCTCTTTTATTTCAAAGCCCACCTTTTCCATGAATGAATGAATGAATGAATGAATGAAATAATTTATATAGCTGCCCATCTCACAACAGTGACTCTGGGGCAGTGTACAAAAAAAGTTGCAAACAATAATGATGCCCAAGGTAAATAGTACATTCCAGCCATAAAGCCGCATCAACAGCACAGTTTGTCTAACCTTCTGGCCCAAATCCCTGGGGAAACAGCCAGATCTTCCAACCTTATGAAAGGCAAACAGGGTCGGCGCCATCCAGATCTTTGGGGGATGCTGTTCCACATCTTTGCTCTATGCTACAGAAAAGGCACAAATCCTGGGTCCAACAAGATGACATTGTTTAATAAAGGGAACCCAGAGTAGGCACACTCTGCTAAATCTGGTGAGAAGAGCAGAAACAATGGAGGAAAAGCAGTCCCACAAGTAGCCTGGCCCTATGCCATGTAGGGCTTTATAGACAACAACCAGCATTATAGGTGATGACCAGAATCTTGAATTGCACCCAGAAGCCTACTAGGAGCTAATGCAGCTCATGGAGCAGTGATATTCTGTGAGGATAGCAAGAGACATCAAAAACTGCCTGTGCTGCTGCATCCTGGACCAGGTACAACGTCCAAATATTCTTCAAGGACAGCCAGATGTAGAACATGTTACAGTAATCCAAACAGGATGTGACTAAGGCATGAATCACTGTGAGCAATTTTGATACAATATCACTAAGTTCTCAAGAGTATTGCCTTCCTTAGGTTGAAGTAAACATTACAAGCTTTTGGGGGGAATGTTAATTTGTTTCTCTGTAAATTATGCTGATGTTGAACAACAACACCAAGGCTGATACATAAATTGCTCATCCATTATTTGTTCAACCATGGTTTACTGAATAAACCACAATGGCTAGCTTCACACAATAAATGTGATGCCATATAGGATATTGCAAGAGGATACCTGTTTGACACATCTTAGGATTCCATCTTGTTTCCTATGCTATTCAACATACATGTGGAAACCTTTGGGGGAGGTTGACAAGAGTCCTAGAATGTGGCACCATTAGTATGCTGATGACAACATTTCTATGGGTACATCACAGTAAGCCAAGTCTGTTTTAACAATTATTTGCTGATTATGCCCCAACTGATTGGGGCTAAGTTGTAAATCATGGTCAGTCACAATGGCTGGGTTAATACAAACACCCTATCATAAAAGATGGGACATTATCAAGTTGTGTTAAATCAGCCTTCTCTTCTCTGATGTTATTATTAGGACCACTTCCCCATCAAGGGTTTTAACAATGCCTGGGAGAAGAGGATGTTGTCATCATGTTCTGCTTGAAAGCTTTCCCAACCCCCATTTTGTGGTCCATGCTCCCCCCCCCTCATTCTACTGAATGGCTGGATTTGGGTGATATATGTATTTACACACACACATATGTTGGTTGTTTTTTTAAGCTAAAAAATTGATGTGTTATATCTCTATGAAGCAATCCATCCAATACCACTCTTAACCTCCCCTGAAGCACAGAAAGGATTGATTATAACAACCAACACTGAAATGATTTCAGGCACTTCATCTTCTACCTTGGTTAGGCCTGGAATAAAACTATTAGAAGCTTAATATTTATTTTTTTTCCTTGCTTGTAAACCTCAGTGAGAAGCTCCCCCATCTTATCATAGTCTAGCCAAGATCTGTCATAGAGGATGTTGTTGGTGAAAACTACTACAAGTTTTGCTGATGTGCCTTTTAGATCTTTTCAACAAATATGTTTGGGAAATGTCTTTATTTTAAGTATTGGTTCAAGATTTTGCTTTTTCAGATTATTTCATAGGAAAAAAGTCCTATACAATTCCTATTAACAGTTTAATAGAGTAGGACTCTACTGCATTTACCCTTCCCTAAATAAAGCCATGACTGGATATGTCTAGATGCTTTTAAGTGAAAGCAGAGGAACACCGTGCCCAGTATCATATGTCCATGAGATAAATACAAAATCTAGTTTTCTCAGAAGGTTTGTAAGTTAAATTAAGAATCCACCTTGATTTCAATCATTGACAGCCCCTATTCCTTTGGTGAGGTACACATAGAAAAACTATCTTCTAGAATTATACTGCCATCTTCATTAATGAAAACCTTTTTTAAAAAATCAGATATGAAATGTCTTGAGCATTAGATTAAAAAAATATGCACTTAGTGATATAAAAATGTTCTGTCCTTCTAAGGCACATGCACCAGAAGGTATTATTACCTTCAGTGAAAATTAAACCGTTGCAAATGTACTTTGATTTTTTAAAACTCCATTTCCCCCTTTTCTTTGCATTTAACTGGTCTACAAGCCTGGAAGAACTTGCAATATTGTTTCTACCACATGGTGTCAGAGTTACAGCTGTGGCAAAATCCAACATTAAAGTCTGAAAGCAAGGACCCAGACCATCACTGTCCATTGCAGGTTGTGCTCAGTGCTCCTAATGAAACACACATACAGTCACACCCTCAGAAGAAGGTGCTTCAGTGCAGATTTGCCCATTAAAGCCTTGTTGTGCTGCAAAGGTATAGAACAGCTGAAGATGGCAGATAGATCAGCAGTGAGAGGCATGGGGGAAAATATGGGGAGGTTAGAAGCAAAGGGAACATGAGATCAAGCAGGGATGCTGGAAAGGATTGTGAAGAAGGTAACAATGGAGGAAGAAAAGTCATGCTGACCGAAACTGGTACTAAATGTGATGTAGCTTGCCCAGAGAAAGGAAGAAATCCAAGCACACTATTTTCACAGCAGGAAGAAACATCAGAGTAAACTCTGTAGGGAATATTCACTTGATTCCAAAAGAAAATATTCCAATTTTAAACTGAGCTTTTGCAGATAATGACATCATCCGTGGTCATTGAAATGAAGCTTCAGTTTTAAACTGGAAATAGCTTTTGCAAGGAATCTTAAATTGTAAGGACTGTGCTAAACAGGGAGGAGGTGTTGAATGAAAATGGGAGAAAATGATTTTTTAAAATAATTGCTATTAAAATATATAAATTAATACACTGTAAATAATGGCAAATTACCACACCCCATTAACATTCCTTTTAGTAATGAAGGCAAAAGTTATGAATGTCAGCAAGGAGTTATTCTTCTCTGAATATAAATTTTTTATAAATCTAAAATTGGGATTAATTTGACAAGTAATGTTCCTTGTATAAGACAGTGTTACTCAACTTTAGCAACTTTAAGATGCATGGACTTCAATTCCCAGAATTCCCCAGCCAGCATAAGTGGACTCCAACTCCCAGAATTAATTCTGGGAGTTAAAGTCTGCACATGTTAAAGTTGCTGAGATTATGAAACCCTGGCCTAAGACACCTCTACTTCTTTTTATGAGTTCAGTTAATTCCCCTCCTCTCTGGTTTGAAGGCAGCGCTTTCTTGACGGCCACTATATATATTTGAACATTACATTCATACAGTTTAGGTCATTAAGAGTCACATTAACCTTGATGAATGGATTCCTTAAAGCAGCTACCGGTTTTTTTCAGCCTCCCTTGGAAGCTTGAGAAATGGCAGCCTTCTTTAATGAATAGCAGGCAGCTGTGTGGTGCTTCAGATTCAAAAGCGAAAAGGTGCTTCAGAGCATACAGGGTGCAAGGAAGCAACAACAGTCACAGTCTCTGGAAAGATGGGTTCGGTTTAACAGCCATCCTCCCTCCTACTCCAAAGCACTGCGTAAGAAGAATAACGCAATCCCCACAGTGGAGGTACGGATTGTGAAAATGTCAGAATTTGCAGAAAAGAAATCCAAGCAAACGATCCTCACAGCAGGAAGGAATATCAGAATAAACTCTATAGGGAATCTTCACTTGATTCCAAAAGAAAACTTTTCTGAACAACTGGAAAGCTTATGTGGGTTTTTTGCTGACATGATGATTTATGGGTTTGAAGATTAAGAAAGATGTAGATTAAATGAGGGGCTGAAGGGACTTGTATAATATCTAGAGGTCGTTTCAACGAGATGGGTGGTGACAAATTTGATAAATAAATAAAAAAATAAAAGAGAGGAAGGACTATAAAATTGTAACTATCTGTTGAAAAGAAGGTCGGAAGTCATTCTTTACTTTTTTCCTTCTCTTTTTTCATTTCTTGCACTTCTTTCTTTCTATCTTTGTTTCCTTTTTTTCCCCTTTTGATCTGTGTTTTACTCTATGAAAAATTCTTAATAAATACATATAAAAACAACAACAACAAAGCATTGCATTAGCCCAGCAGTTAAGTGCAGGGCTTGTGCTCATGTGGAGTTCAAAGCCCTTTTTAAAAATTATTTTCAAAGCATGCCTAGCTTTACTACAGCACTGTCATAAATCCTAGATAAGAACATTAGATGGGATGGGGAACGTCTGTCCTCCAGATGCTGCTGAACTGAAACTGACCATCCCTCAACATTAGGCCCACTGCCTGGGGCAACTGGAATTTGTAGTTCAGCAACATCTGGAAGGCTACAGCTTTTCCATTACTAACTGAGAAAATATAGAAGGATGGCTGGAAAGATGGTTCCAGAGGATTGGCACAATGATAAGGAAAACCCTCCAGTTCACAATCTGACATGGTGGTATAGCTGGGAGCAGAGTTCCAAAGCCTCTCCTTACCTGGGTGGTGTTGAGGTCACACTGATGTGTGTTTCCAAACCATCCTCCGCTAGTAGCACACTGGTTTATATCAACGTTTTGGATTTTAACATCCAGCCTCATGACCCCTCTGGAACAGAGAAGGTGATGGTTTTAGCATGTATCGGGAGGGAAGGAATTAAACAATTCTAATACCTGATTATACAGTACCATATAATCACTGCAGATGATATTGCCATTGGCTGGTGTTTCTTAAGAACTGCTCTGTTGAACGGCCTATGTGCATGAGCAAAGTAATATCCTTTATGAGGAGGTTGGGGAAATGTGAGAAGACAAAGAGGTGGCAGAAACTTTTACTAGTTGGGGAAGCAAGGAATTGACCCAGATTATATTGGTCTTTAATATACTACTGCTTTGAGCCAGAAAAGTGAAGGAAATACCCAGAATTTGGGATGGCGCTTCACTAGCCCTTGGATTTTGTAACCTAGGATTTGCGTCAATTATTTCTATGGTTATCTATTAAGTGGCCTCCAGCTGTTAAGAGAAACAAACACTATAACAGAGAAAAAGTTGGCAAGTTTCTATTAGCTGCTTGGCTTCCTTCCTTACCGTCTTCCTACCTTCAAATTCTTTCTTCTCATCACATCAGGGCACAGCAGCTTCATTGGTGCCCAGGGATAAGCCTTTCCACCAGGCAGAGGGTGAAAGCATCTGCATGATGCACTAAGCCATTCTGCTCCGTTAATGAGAATATGCATCCTGTAACCTTACCTCCCACGTGGCTCTTTATCCACAGTTCATGGCTTTGCTAAGGCTAAACATTTCATGTGAACTTGGAGTGGCTGCCATTTCCAGTTTGCGCAGATGCCAGTCAGAAACTAAGGGTAATCATTAGTTTAGATTTTTGGTTAGCTCTCCTTGAAAAGGTGGCAGCTTTGAGTTTGGCCAACAATCTTTGCCACAGAGAGTAGAATGGCAATACAGTAGGCGGATTCTTTCTCAGCAGAGTGGCATATTGTGGCATGCTGTGTTAAGCCATAATGTGTTTTTTTAACACATCAACAAAACTTGTGTATCATGAATCAGTTGTTGTGAACCTTGACAACTGTTTTATATTTAATCAATCCTGTATAAACAAATGATGGTTTAATCCAATAAATTAATCCAGTCAATGTTATTTATATTTTACCTTTCCCACCTCACATTTGACAAATTAAGTGTCACTGAGTCTTCAAGCTTCCTGTCTGGAGCCTAGAGTGGAGTCCTAAGCATAAAGAAGTCCATAGAAAGCAGTGACATGAATTCCATGGAGCTGAAGCAACCATTACTATAGGCCCTATAAGGTAGGCAGGGTCGAGAAACAGACACAGCAGGAATTCCAGGAATGTTTTTTGTGGTGTAGGGTAGAATAACAGAATCTTGAAAACCTGTCAGAGTTTCTCTCTGCCCTATATTATACCAAACAAAATCAAGAGGGGGTTACTTTGAGTTCGTTTCTCATGCTTTCCTCTTTCTCAGACTGAGTAATCTTTACTGAAATCCCCCCCTTAACAGTTTTCTCATTCCTTCCTCATTCCCAAGGCCAGGTCTACATGCTTTCACAATTACTTATTTGCATGATTTTTTATTTATTCTTTGTGCCTTTGAGTCGTTGTTGACTCCTGGTGACTTCCTGGACAAGTCCCTGCAGTTTTCTTGGCAAGGTTTCAAAAGTGGTTTGCCACTGCCTGCTTCCTAGGGCTGAGAGAGAGAGTGACTGGCCCAAGGTCACCCAGCTGGCTTTGTGCCTTAGATGGGACTAGAACTCATGGTCTCCCAGTTTCTTAACCACTACACCAAATTGGCTGTCTTAATTGTATGAACATGTGTGATCTCAGACAGCAACAATTCACCAAGGGTCATCTGTATGTTAAGTAGATGATCTATGACAAATCTGTGATTGGGGTCACATTTTATACAAAGCAATGGTTTAACTATGGGTTGTTCACTAAACCATAATTGGCTGGGTTCATATATTACACTAAGCCCTAAATTATTATTTACAAACTACAATGACTGCTGCAACACAATACACTAAGCCCTACACTAAGGTTGATACACTAACGTTGATACGGGAGGAGAGGTCCAGCCCATTGCCCCTATTATGTGTGGTATTGCAGGACCCAGGGCTCTCTCCTCTTCTGTTTAATATCTACATGGAGCTGCTGGGTGAGGTCATCTGTCGGTCTGGAGTGAGACATCATCAGTATGTTGATGATGTCTAGTTATATAACTCTATCCAGGGCTGTCTGAGTGATACTGTGGAGGTCCTGTCTCAGTGCCTGGAGGCTGTGGGAGTCTGGAAGGGGAACAGGCTTCAGCTCAACTCTAGTAAAACCAAGTGGCTTTGGGTTTTAGGAACTCCTTGTTCTGGGGACTTTCCATCTCTTGTTCTGGATGGGATTGCATTGCCCCAGACAGATCATGTGCACGATTTGGGGTCTTCCTGGATTCCTGGCTCCTGGCTGAATAGCAGGTGGCAGTGTACCAATTGTGCCTTTCCTGGAGTGGGAGGCCCTGCTCATGGTCACTCATGCCTTAGTCACCTCCTGCTTGGATTACTACAATGTGTTCAGCTGGGTAAAATGTGGTGGTGTGGGCAGTTATAGGTGCCTGTCATTCAGCACATGTGACACTTCTGCTCCATGAACTGCACTGGTTGCTGGTATGCTTCCAGGTACAATTCAAGGTGCTGGTGCTTACTTTAAACTCTTCATGGCTTGGGGTTGGGTTACTTAGGAAATCTCTCTCCCCAGTTGTATCTACCCATCCTATTAGATCTGGCAGGAGAGGCATGCTCCGGGCCCCATCCATAAGGGAGTGTCATTTGGTGGGACCCAGGAAAAGGGCCTTCTCGGTCGTGGTGCCTGCAAGACATGGCCCTCCCCAAGAGATCAGACTTGCCCCAACCCCGCCGGCTGTTCACAAAGCTTTGAAGACCTGGTTTTGCCATCGAAGCTGGGGCCCTGATACTGTGGGTAAGCCTGTTTATTGGCTCTATTGTATTGTTATGCTATTTTATGTTAGTTATAGTTTTATTTTATTTTATTATGTTTTTAACTCTTAGCTGCTCAGAGTCACACAATAAAGATGGGTGGCCATACAAATTTAATAAGTAAAGAAGCCAAAATTGAGCAAACCACATTGGCTCTGTTTGCACAGCACTCTGGTGTGTTCAGAAAACATGCTTATTGTGGTTACCATAATTACCGTTCACTCAAAAAGCCCAATCTGGGGGTTCACACATCACAATGAATTCTAATCTAACTATAGAGGCTGAGTTTGTTCAAATTATGCTAACATGCAGTTACAGGTGGTCCTTGGGTTACGACCACTCATTCAGTGACTGTTCAAACTTACAACAGCATTGCATGAATAGTAGTTACTACTGGTCCTTGGAGTTCTAGCTGTTGCAGTGTCCCCACAGTCATGTGATTGTGATCTAGGCGCTTGGCATCCAGCTCATGATTACAACACTGCAGTAAGTTGCAGTCATGTGATTACAATTTCCAACATTCCCTGCCAGCTTCTCACAAGCAAAATCAGTGGGGAAGACGGCAGGAAGTCGGAAGTCAAGGTCATGTGAGGTCCTCGCTAAGCAGTACAGTCACATGACATTGCGCTTTACGACTGCATTGCTTAGCGATGGCAATTCCAGCCCCAGTTGCCGTCATAAACCAAGGACTACCTGTAGCCAACTCAATAGTTCAATGTGTAATTGAATGAATTACACATTGAATGAATTAATTCAATGTGTCAAGGTAAAACCCTGCCTTTGAACCATAAATTAAGCAAACAGATTTTAGCCTACAGCATGTTGTATAGATCAGTCCATGTCATTAGCCTCTGGTTTGGTGTGTTATGTGAACCTCTGCAACTGTGTTAGAGTATCTGTGTAAGTTGTAGTTGTTACCGATGGGTAAGTGTGTAACAATTCAACCAATATGTCTTTCTGAGGACAATTCATAATAATTCCATTGTTGTTGTTGTTACATCCTGTCTTTCAGGATACCAATCCTACCAAAATTGCTTACAAAAGTGTCAACCTCCTAAACTAAAAACACTTAAAAACACACACACACAACAATTTAAAAAAAATCAGGGATCCTTCTCATAGGAGAGTTGATAGAAATAAAATTCAGAACACCTTGTTTGAGATGGTGTTTGCCTTCCTTACCCTCTCTCCTCTATTTGTTACTCCAAGATCAATCCTGAAGGAAAAAAATTAAAATATCATTTCACAAATAACAACCTCTCCACCTTCTGCCAAACTGGGCCCTTAAATTTGTGTGACAATTGGGAGAAGAAATTGTTTTTAGCATTTGACTATTTTTGGCATGGGGTAGTCAGAGCAGGTGTCTTTTGTAGCAGTCTTTTCCACCCTGCCTAATTTGTGAATTACATGCATAACCACCAGAATGCAGCAGGTCCAATATCTGGATCTTTACTAACCAAGCAGGATCATTTATTTTCCACAAATTCATTTTACTTCTGTAACTCACAGGATCCAGCCCTATAATTCATGGGACTGCATTCACACAACATATTAATTCACGTTTGCATTAAATCTAGGATTAACCTGCTGATCTTCCCAAAGATGAACAAATTAACCATCCTAATAGCACCTTACTGCCTGTCATTGAAGCCAAATAGCCCAGCAACCTTTACACTATTGTGCATTTCCTAATTTATTTACTGAACAAACAACACAGTCTGTAAAGGCTCAGGGGGAGTCAGAGTCAGGGTGAGCAGGTGGCAGAGTTCATACTTCCTTCTGCCCGTTTCTCAAAACAAAGCTTGATTATATAAATTTTATTGAAAGGAGTAGCTCAGGTTCCCTGTTTTCCTGGAAGACTAATGGCTGCTTAACCCTCTGTTGTCCTTGCATGTGACATGCCATAGCATGATTAGATTAACTAATCTAAATCAGCCATAGATACAGAGCATGATTATGGGACTCATGGATTTGAAGAACATGGTGACCTACAGTATGACTTAATGTGTCATACAGAGGTAGTCAGTGTTTCAGTGATAATATATATCAAAATGCCCCAAAGCTTTTCCTGAAATTAAGGACATTCTATGGTACTTTTAAAAAGCTTATCTCATTTCTGAACTATTTGATAAGAAGGAGCATCAGAAACTTTCTTATATTTTGGGGGCTGCATAAATTCACATGACCACTAGACAGCAGCAAAGTATTATTTGTATCTTTCTACTGCCGTCTAGTGGTCATCCGGAGTTTGCAGCCCAAATCTCGTAGCCCTGCTTATACCACGTTAGAATATCTAGCTCAGTATTCGCTATATTTATAATGACATATTGAATCTCCAACTAGCTAACCATATTCTAGCCTAATATATCATCCTAATGTGTAATGTGGTTAGTTTATAATTCAGAAAGTCTTCTGAACCTAAACAATAAAGTTAATTGAATAAACCACAGTTCAGTTCATCGATGGCAAAGTGTGTTATGATGACACAACCACTGTTGAACAGGTGACAGCTTTTGCATGTCTCAGACTGATTTGCCATAATTTGTGCTATAGGAGATCTGAACGTGGAACATTTTTCATCCAAAGCATGTTTTCTCCCTCAGAACAGCAGTAGGCTACTTGGGTGGAGTCAACATCTATATTTCCCACAATACCCTGGAAGGCAGGTACTTTGGGGCATTATGGGAAATTACAAAACAAGTCTAATTCAAGCCATTTGCAGCTATTTGAAATGTCCAGTTTAAAACTATCTTTCAGTGGGTATTTACAGGAGACATTAACAGTGGGCTCTGCTGAAACCCTGGCAGCTGTCTGAGTATGTTAGTTGTTAGTGTGAGGCTGGTGCCAGAATTATGGCTAACCCTGCAGATTGTGATTATAGACTTGAGTGGATCAGTTGCAAAGTAGGTGCATTCATTCTGTTCTACAGGCAGTGGGATTACATCAGATAGGCCACAAGAGCATTCTGTAATGAAAGTCAACTCTTTAAAATAAAATATGCTTAGACTTCTAAATAGCCATTCTGAATTGTTTTCAAGTAGATTGGCAGGAAGTTTCTGAAAATCAGAAGAGATTTAGTTCTTATTTATGTGAAAATGTAACACGTCTTTTTTTTTTTAAAGTAGCCTTGGAATATCCCTTCCCATTTTGAATAGAGTGAGTCAAGGAAGAGTGTACAGATTCCTCAATCTGTATGAAAACCTTCTTAAAAGGAGGTTAATCCTATAGGCAATAGGGTGGGCTTCTTCAACACATCATCTCCACCATCCTTGCCACCCAATTATCATTTATCTGTGACATACAACAGAATCTCAGCATTCCACACTAGATTGGTGGTTTCTAAGATATTTACCATTGAGATTGTAGACTTATAACATTTTAAGCTTTCTCCCGGACTTCCCCATATCAAGTTAAAAAAAATTGGTTGTGTCTTTTGTGAACCATTCAATGATACACACCAGTTTAGTGTATTGTGTGAACCTAGCTTATTGCGAACCCAGGCAAGCAGGGTATTGGTAAACCATGATTAAATTAACCCTGGGCAAGTAGATTCATCAAACTTAATAGGTTGAAGCAGCTTTTGAATACACAGATCAGGCTTGTAAAGAATGATAAAATAATAACAAAGACTTGTAAAAAAGAATTCTCCTAATAGCTCCTAAAATCTCCTCCAGGCAAGCAGGAAAGGAAGTGATATAAATACCGAAGGCTGTTTTCTCCTTTGCTAACTACAAATGATCAATAGAATATAAATAAATAGAAACTTCTGTAGACTAGTACCTTGTGTGTAGGGAGGAACTGATATAAATCTGAGATCCTTTCTGCTGAATTACTACAGCCCACTCCATCTCTCTTGAATTCAGGGTCTTCTTCCAGATCAAACTACTGTTTTTTCACCTAAGCTCTTGGGTGCTACTTAAGACCCCAGCTTGTAAAGTATCTAACAATGTACTTACTTAACATTAAAATTTAGTATTAGTAGTATTTTAAGTATTCTTTAAAATAAGGAATAAATGGTAAAACTGAATACAGTAGAAGAGATTTCCTCTCCCCTCCAGGCCAACGTCACAACCAGAGTGTGAAGGATGAGTTGAGATTCCAGACATTAATTTGAGATAGTATTTGTTAGGAATTTGTCCTGGAACATGGAAAAATAAATCTCACAGGATAAATTAAAAGCTGCCTCTGAATGTACATTGAATGCTTTTTCATTATGTTTAAGTACAGCCCATCACTGCAACTGGGCGTTAAGAGGTCATAGCTCAGCTTCATCCCTAGAAAAGTTGAACTCATGTCCTTTCTATTTTAGAGATTAACCCAAACTATCACAGCAGAAGGACAAGCAATGATTATTTAATTGTGAAAAGAAAGTTCTTTACACATGCTTAGACAAAAACATTTTATTGTTATTGCTATTCTTACTTTTAATATCAGGTTCTAGGATAGATTTTAATCTTTTTGTTTTTAACCTTGTAATATTTTTGTAAGCAGCTGCTTGCAAATCCTGGTGAGCTTCTCAGTGGAATATGCATTTTAGTGATAAATAGATAAATAGTGATAAATATATTTAGTCTCTATGCATAATGTAAAAGTAAAATTCAGCCCCACCATGAAGGATATTGGGTAGATTTTTCTTCCCACATTCTCTGTCCTGGCTTCTTCCCTCCCCAGCTCCCTAACAACTGTTTTTATTTTTCTAATGTGAGAAGATCCAGTGGTGGATCTCCTGTATCCTATGTGGTTTGGATTAAAATCTCACCCCTTATCACTATCCTCTTCCACTCACTTGAATTCTGGATTGAGGTCAGGCTTGAGGCCGTAGAATGAAGAGGAGAGTGTAACCATCCAGGTGGGCAAGAATTTTCCATCTTCACATTCCAGGAAAGGTGGTGACCATTTGACATAGCCCTGATCCATCACATAACTATCTCCTTGGCTCCATTTGGGAGTGTCTAGGGTCTTAAGGTCATTGCTGAGGATTCGCTTATAGAGCAGTGGAGTCCTCTGGAACCGGAAGAAATTGTACCACTCATTTTCCCAAGTCAAATTCCTTAGATTCTCTGAGAAGGCAGAAAGATCCTGGAGTAAGATCTCATTATTCCCCTTCGTGGCTTGGAGTATCATCTGGGGCTTGGAAGACAAAGGATGAGCATCAAAAGTCAGTATGGCTCGGTAAACTTGGGAATCCCCTTCCATAACACTTCTGACCAAGGCATGGTACCATTCTACATCCTCCTTCACGCTGGACTCCCGGATGTCATTGGTCTGGAAGACCATATTGAGGAAATTGGTGGCATGGGTCAAGGTGTCAGTAGCACTGCGTAGATAGGAATGCAAGGCTGGTGGAGGGCCAGAGTCCTTCCCCAAAGCCCTCACTTCAAATCTTTGGGTACAGTTGGCTTGTGAGAGACTCAGTACATCTCCAGAGTACAAAAAGGCCATTGCTGCCTCCGATCCCTCAGGGTCAGCCTTATCCAAGTTAGGGGTAGGCGCCCAAGTGAAAGCTGAAACCAAAAAAGATGAAGAAGAAGGCATCCATTCCTTCATTTTGGGTATCCTGGTCTTGGGTGGAGCTGATTGTTGTTGTTGGAAGATTTCGGCTGCTTGTAGGAGTTTGAGATGGAAGCACCAAATAAGAAGTCCCAGAAGACAAATCTCCATGGTTTAGCAAAAGGCGTAGAAAATACCTGTGTCACCCAGTGGAAATCATTTCAACCATGGAGAAGCCCTCTTGAGAACTCCTGATGTATCTGGTGGGGATGCCGAGATCCTCAGAAAGTAGAGGAGTGAAGCCATGAGAAGCAAAGAAGGAGCCAGCCCATCTGCAAAATGAATGTCTCCAGAGAACAGTGTCACACTTGCCGAAGAGTATCCTGCCTCCTTTTATAAATTACAGGAGTTTCTCATTGTCTCCCACTCTCTATTTTTCGCTATCCCTTATATCTTCCCTCCCTGGCTGGTGATAGAGCAGACGTCACCACACTATCAGCAGCTGCTGGCACTTCCCCCTCCTTTCCCTCCCTGACTACTATTATATGCTTGGGCTTTTAAATCTGCAGATCCACACACACATTCACATACACAAACATACTAAGAGCTCAGTCAACAGCCTTACTTGCTAATGCTTGAAATGGAAACATCCTGTTTAAGGCCAGAGAAAAAGGGAGGGAAAGAGAGAAAGATGGGAAGGGAATAGAATCTGTCTCTCTGCCTCTCTCTGTCTCACTTTACTTCCATTAGGGGATCTAGGTCTGACAGTGATGCAAGCAACCAAATCCTGCATGGAGTACCATGGCAACAGGAAATTTGTCTTCCCACCTCACCCTTCCCTTCCCTTCTCCTCCCCTCCCCTCCCTGCCTTTATTTTTTTCCCCCTTCCATTCATCAGCTTGACTAACACCATGATATTCATTTATAAGGTCACCTACTGCCTACTGATGTTCCTATCATGCTGCTAAATTTAATTAACTGTTTAGGGGCCAGGGATGTGAAGAGAACAGAAGGAAGGGAAGGGGAAACAAGGATGGAGACATTTCAGATGGGATGGTGTATTCTATTGTTATCTACATACTGAAATAATAAAAAAGAAGGAAGACAGAGAATAAAGGGTGGAAAGAGCAACTCCAATGAGTGTGATACAGACAAAATTATGACTAGACTATTTCTGAATTCAGCACTAGTGAGATTTCCCAGTGCTACAGCTCACTTTTGGACTCATCAGAATAGACAGACAGACAGACAGACAGACAGACAGATAGATAGATAGATAGATAGAGGACTACAACTGTACATATACATGGTTAACGGTCCACAGTGTATAATCAGAGCAGACTCTACTTTCCTTCAGTTCTCTCACATGGAACTTTAATTGTACCTTACTAGGGCATTATTTTGTTTTACAGTTTTTCATATTGAGATTTTTAAAATTGTGGGTAAATTTATTTTAATGCTATATTTCTTTGCATGTTACAATTGCTATTATTGATGAATGCTATTTATTTACTTTTCTTGAATTGTTTGGTCATTTCTGCAATTCTCCGTGCATGGTTAAATAAACTAAACTCGAAGTAAAATAGAACTACTGAAAAGGATGGATTACATTTGCCAAGAGAGCTAAAAGGTACTTTGGAGACATGTTTGTTGCAGCAAAAAAAGTCTTGTGTATTTTAAAGACTCAGATTTAGTATGGCATAAACTTTTGTGGCCCATAGCCTACTTCATCAGAAGTGTGAAATGTTGTCCTTAATTACAGGTACTATACGCACTCATGAAGTGGGAGGGATTGTAAAAAGTATCATTATAGGAACATGAAATGCAGAAAATACAGGTAGGGATGCCTTATTAATAGTAGAGCCACTGTGGTATAGCAGTTAAATTGTTGGGATAGGAGTGGGGAGACCAGGTCTAGTCTGCTTTTAGCCATGGGTGATTTTGGTCTATCACCGCTCAGCTCAACCTACCTCACAGGGTGGTTATTGGGGGGAGAAATAGGAGGAGGGAGCATTGCACATGATGCCTTGAGCTCCTGTACAAAAGGCAGGCTGGAAATGTAATACTGAAAATAAATGAAACAGTAATAATTCACAAAATAGTTTTTGGATGATAATCCAGACATCTTGCTTTGGTAAACTGATTGATCTCTATCAAATCATAAGTAACATTGCTGGCTCTACTTTGGTGGCCATTGTCAGATGTAGTTAGCTGGGTGGCAATAAGGGAAAAGAACTTTCTCCAGGGCAGTAGCAGTCTCTAGTTTTGAATTTTAAGCCCTGAATGGTTAAAGTCCTAAATGGCTAATGTCCTGCCTATCTGAGGGACAGCTCCTTCCTCTATGAATTATGCAGCAATTGAGATCTGCAGGAAAAATCCTTTTGAAGATGTCTCTCTGCATCAGAGAATCACTTCTGGCATGCATGAAAGGACCTTCTCATTCTTCATTCAGTGGAATGTACTTCCCATGGAATTGTTTGATCTTCTTCCCTCCGCATTGAGAAAAGCTGTAAAGACTACATTCCTTTTGCTAGACTTTTAATGGTAATCCATTTATTTACTTATTTTTACTTTTCATATTTGGTATTGTTTCTATTTCGTATTTTAATTAGTGATAGCTGCCTTGAGGCCTTGCTTGAATGGAAAGATAGGTTCTAAATCAAATAAATAAATGAGCAAACACTGCCTTAGTGCAATGTAGAAACCTTGCCTACATCATAAAAGTAGGATTAAGGCCAAAGAATTTGGCAGCACTGAGTGGCAATGGAGAAACGTGCAAATGGCTCAGACATGAAACAGTCAAGAAATATGCCGGAGACTAGCACTTGGTACAGCAGCTGTGAAGGAAAAGATATTCAGCTGCTGTGATGTGTCTATACCTACAAAGATCAGAACAGTGCAAGCAATGGTATTCCTTGTGACACCCTACAGAAGTGAAAGTTGGACTTTGAAAAAGCAGGATAGGAAGAATATTGATGTTTTTGGACTTCTGAGAATACCATGGACAGCCAAGAAAACAAACAAATGGATCATTGAATAAATCAGCCTTTATTTCTAATTTGAGGCACAAGTGACCAGGGTCAAATTATCTTACTTTGGACAGATTATGCAAAGACCTAGCTCTCTGAAGAAGGCTGTAATGCTGGGAAAGATGGAAGGAAAGACTAAAAGAGGATGACCAGCAGCAAGGTGGATGGACTCAGTTGTATTGGCAATGAGTCCATTGGAAGACCTGAAGGGCAAGGTTAGGGACAGATTGTCATGGAGAAAATGTATCTACGTGATCGCTAAAGACCACACCAACTTGATGGCACATAATCAATTAATGAATGAAGGAAAGGCTGTAACGAAGAGGATAAATTTCAAATCTCATTGAGGATGTCAAGGGCATGTGTCTTGATCCAGACTGCTCTTTTGAATTCCCCACATTGCTGCTAACTTTATTTATTTTATAGGTTGTGTTCACATAACATGGTAAATCATAAAGCTCAGTTAATGACTGCATATGTCCCCACGTTACTTCCCATCATGCATGGCTCTTTAAACGAGATCTGCTGTTTACTGTGTTGTCTAGACCTGAAATGAATACCATTTTGGAGAGCTACAAATTAGACATTATAACAAACCTTAGGAGCAAAGGTTTCTGGACCTCCAGGATGAGTGTACACTGGTTAATTGACCTTATGGCTTTGCTTTCTGGCAAAGTCAGCTATAGCTCTAACTTCTAGTAAAGATGGCTAATAGAAAAAAGAGATGAGGGCAGGAGACAGTCATCTCTAAGGCAATTGAAAGTTTCACTTTTCCTGTTTAACTGTGAATATCTCTTAAAGCTTATCTCCAGATTTACCCAAACATTCTGATCTCAGAGTATGAATTGCATTTAGCGATGTCAAATGAAATCCATCCCATTAACCTGAGACAGCTGCAGAACTAGTGGGCAAGGATTATCGCCTTCTCTCCCGCAGTTACATTTCTATTATACAAAGATTAATTATAATTATGTTAGGTATTATGCCGTTTTCCAAAAAGCTGCTGGTTTCTATCTTCCATTTGCAAAACAAAAAAACAAAAACAAAAATTCATACAAATAATCCACCAAATTATGCCTGTTTCCAATCTGCATGAGAACTGCCACAACTTACCACTTATCACTTTGGGATCAAAATTGGTATGTGTGTTTGATGGGAGTTACATTATCAAACTCCAATGTTTTTGGCTAAAAGCATATTGCATCTCAACCAAGTGACAAACTTTGGCCGAAAGGGAATTGTTATGATGCAAACATTCATATGCCTAGGTTTGTGTTGGAGTGAGTGAGTGTGTGTGTGTGAGAGAAGAATTTATAATAATAGCTTCTATCATACATTAGAGTGCTCACACTACCTATCATGCATTACTGCAGTAATCTTATAATATCCTGGCAGATAGGGTAGGAATTCCCCCCCCCCCAAGGATTATCTTTGGTTGGGTTGATCTATCCAGGTTGCGTACTTTTGCAGAGGGGGGTGTTGAAGCCAGTCAGAGGCAGATCTTGCTAAGGATTTAGACAGATAGGTTGCCAAGTGATTCTGAAGTGTAACCAAGAGGTACATAGGCCTTACAGGAAGGCTATCCCTGCTCTAAAATTTATATTGATTAATACGTTAAGTTCCATTCTAGCAGAATTTTTATAGTAATTTTATTAAAGATTATAATTGCAACAATAAAAATTAATACAAATTTTAAAAGTAAATGAATAAAAAGACTAAAAAGAAAAAGTAGAAGGTGCAGAAAAGAAAGAAAAAAGGGAAAAATAGAGAAACAGAAAAGAAAGAAAAAAATAAGAATATAGTAAAGAAAAAGAAAAGAAATATATAAAGAAGTGACTTCCCACCTTCATCACAACAAGTATAAACGATTTTAGTAACTTATCAAAAAGAAAGAAAAAAGGGAAAAATAGAGAAACAGAAAAG